AGCAACATCCTTTCCTAAGCCTGACAGAAACATAGTAGGAGGGTTTCAGTGAAGTCTCAAATCTATTAAATAGCCAAGTGCCAAGGTACAAAGTCATTTCTTCACAGCAGTTCAACTCTGCTCTTTTGTATAGCTGAAGATGACATTGAATCCTAGGCACACTTTAAAACCATTTTCCTCCAGTGACTTGAAAAATTATAAATGAAAAGTTTGGGAAAAAAAGTCTTTAATCCTCATCTCCCAAGCTTTATATTCCATTATTCTGAGTAACTGATATGTGTGAAAACACTCTCAGTTTCAATTTAGCTCAACCTCAGACTCAACCGGGAACAGCTTTTAAATTGTTCATACAATTCCTATCAATCAGTTGGGCTTGTGTAAAGGAAATAGGAATACAGAAACCTAATCACTCCTGTGAAAAATCACCATGTTTTCCTGTTTGGAGACAGATCAGATCCTAGGAAACCTTTCCTGCAGATTTCCACCATTTCCTGGCTGTTTCATTTTAATCTTGACATTGTTGAGCTGATCTATTACCTCATGAATTTCCTGGGCAAGGGCAGGTGTTACTGATATACGTCTTAGGAAAGCCCAGTGGCACATGTTCCCATCCTAGAAGCTGATGTTGTAAGCACGCTATCTGCACATAGTGAGCTGGACTTCCTTGGCAAACTGCTCAATCAGATATGCAATCACGGCAAAAGGCGGAAGTCAAGGCACACATTTTTGGGAACAAATTGTGCTATTTTTATTGGTTTGCTGTATTTCGCCCTTATAAAAGAATGGTATTAGAGTTCATCTTACAGATGGAAATGAGGAAAACTGAAAATGAGTAGAGAGGAGACCATAAAACCACCCAGGCTGGTTATTCTGTGAACCCTGTTATGGTTAGTGGATGTCTATTTACTGCATTCTACAAGGTCAATATTCTTGGGGCTAATTCATCTGACAAATTGCCACTGGACACATTTTCCATCATCAACAAAAATATGTAGCCTCCCTGAGAGAAGTGCTGGCTGGGTAGGTATGAAATGTAAATGCGTTATGTCTGTTTTCCTTTTTGCTATGGACAGTTCGAATGCCTTCCTTTCAAACTTTGCCCAAGTAGACAGATCTTTTAGGAGATTTACACTAGCTGGACCATAGAGGAAATCCACCCATAATTGATTAAACCCAACCAACTCTCTTGGGTTGAAACTAACTTGTTATACTAGCTTACTTGGCACCAAGAAAATATTTAGGGTATAAAACTGGCAATGAATTAAAAAGATGAAAAGAATTAGTCTCGCCATCTAGGAAGGTAGGTAAGTAGATACACACAGCAACTTACTGAAGCACTGGGTTGGCCAAAAAGTTTATTTGGGTTTCCCTGTGACAGCATATAGAAAAATCGGAATGGGCTTTCTGGCCAACACAATATAATTTACTCATCTTACAGTGGGCTGATTTTAAGTGTAGAATGTATTTTTTTTTTTTTGCACAAGAATCTGAGCCTTTTAGAGACCAAAGAGATCACGGGGAATCTGCAGTTCACCCTCCACACTGCAGCTCAGAGAAACAGGTATGTCACCCAGATGGTCAGTGGAAAGTGGAGAAGTGATGCCCAGTTTGGAGATACTATTAATAATCAGTCTATTGACTTGGCCATTTTGAGTAGAAACTCATTCTTTGCAAGGAGAGGGAAGAAAGACTTTAAATAGCAGCCTGTGTAGAAGATAGCTTTGGGTTCCTGATCTGTTAAAAAATGAACATCCAGCTGCTGGCTGCAGACAGTGTAAGAAACAATAGAAGAAGAAGTATCTTCGGAATGGGACTGAGGAAGATGAAGGCTTGCGGTGGGGGAAGGACTGAGAGTTTACCTAAAGAATGGGAGTCTGTGGAGTTAAGCAATTCCGACTGATGTAATGTCTGGATGCTGACAAATAAAATTTATAAATGGCTTTTTAAACCGCTTCCTCTAGCAATGGGAGTTGTTACTATCACATTGATTTTGAAATGAAATGTTATGGAATTTTCTTGCTTTAATGAGAAGGCAGAACCAACTGGTAAATAAAGTAATGATTAAAGCAATTAAAGAGGGAAAATGATAAATAAAGTAACAATACTCCTAATGCTGAAACCCAAATAGGCAGGTTTTGCTGATTTGCTGAAAAGATTCATTTTCATCTTGAAGTAAACATATTGAGAAGCGATGCTCACTGTGAATAAACTTGCCCTTTGGTAAGAGGAGAAAAGTCAATTAGTAATGTCATTTGTTTAAAAATCTGCCTGCACCTGGTTCTCATTTGTCCTCCAGCTGAGAAACCAAAGACAACTTCTTTTTATTGCTTGTGGTCAAACAACAAGTTCATCTCGCCATCGGATGATCAAACGGCCAGCCTCCCCCAGCTTGAGAAGGCCCGCCTTTCACTTTCAACTTGTTCAATCATCATTAACTCTGAAAAATGTCACATTCCATTTGTGCAATGAAAATTTCACCACCAGTGACCGTTTGGGTGAAGTTTTTGTAGGCGAGGTCCTAAATCTTGCAGAGCACCTCACACATTCTCAAGGTCTTTTGCCTTGTTTCCTTGTTTAATGACAGTGGCCTGAGATCCAAGAGTCCATCTATAGCCTGACACCCGTGGCTCTGAAGAAACCTCTGAGTGGGGGTCCATGTGCCTCTCTGAGCCTGCAAGGGTTCACTGCATGACCTGACACATGTGTGTTATCTGACACGCATGCACCCCCAACGCCAGCCTTTGTTAGCTATTATGCATACACGCACTGGGGTTTTTGCCAAGTAAAAAGTCTTCTCTAATGGGGAGAGACCAGTTTGAAAAAAAGACCACTGGATATAGCCCAATTTGAAGCAAGATTTTCTTACTTTGGGAAGCCAACTGCCCTGGAAAGAGCTGCAATATCAAGCTGGGGATGTTCCACAAAGTTTCTGGAAAGGAGAAATAGGCTTCTTTTTAACTTTTGCTATTGGGCTTGAAAATCTTTGCCTCCTTTGTTTATTATTTAATTATATTTCCTCCTCTGCACAGAAGTTCTGAAATGAAAATCCCAAGGAATGTGGTAGTGAGCTAAATACTCATGGCACTCTACAAAAATGAATTTCTGGAAGTAGATGTCAAGCAGCAAGACACCTAAATTAAGAGGTCACTTGATTTAGAATCTTTAAAAGGAGTATTGAGTTTATTGGGGCAAGTCAAATAAATTTTGTGCCATTTGACAAGGAGGTCACAGCTAAAACAGCCGCCAGTTATAGATCCTGATTAGATTTTCAAGGTCAGAACCAAGAAAATGTATAAACAGAGCACTCTAGAACCTTAGTGCCAACACGCTAACATGCTGTTTTAAATAGCCTCCAAGAAGGGCTTCTTGATTTCTAGCTTTAGTGTAGTGTCAAAGTTCCACTGAGTCAGCTGAAATGAGGTTATCAGCCCAACTGGATTATAGGCACAATGTCTTGGCCCCTTCCAGCTAGCTCTGGTTCAAGTGTATTAGAATATTTACTGTTGCCAATATGCAATTTTTGATTGACTGGCAGCTGGGGAGTAGGAGAGAAGGCAAAAATACTCTAATAACTTTTTCCAGTTTCTCCAGTTAATACAAAGACACTGGCTCCTTGGAAGAAAAACTGTGACAAACCTAGACAGCATATTAAAAAGCAGAGATATCATTTTGCCGACAAAGGTCTATATAATCAAAGCTATAGTTTGTCCAGTAGTCATGTATGGATGTGAGAGCTGGACCACAAAGAAGGCTGAGCACCAAAGAATTGAAGGTTTTGAACTGTGGTGCTGGAGAAGACTCTTGAGAGTCCCTTGGACTACAAGATCAATCCTAAAATAAATTAACCTTGAATATTCACTGGAAGGACTGATGCTAAAGCTGAAGCTCCAAAACCTTGGCCACCTGATGTGAAGAGGTAAACTCAGTGGAAAAGACACTGATGTGGAGAGAGATTGAAGGTAAAAGGAGGCAGCAGAGGATGAGATAGCATCACTGACTCAACAGACATGAATTTGAGCAAACTCTGGGAGACAGGGGAGGACAGGGAAGCCTGGCATGCTGCAGTCCATGGGGTGGCAAAGAACCAGACACAATTTAGGAACTTAACAACAATAATATAAGACCAGACCCTGGGTCTAAAGAAGAATCACGTGGCTCCTAAAATAGGAAAGATAATGTCCTGCCATTTTAATGGCTGGGTTGACAGCATCACTTTTAAGAAAAGAGATAAATACTAGGTTATTAGTTGAAAAAAGCTTGTGTGTAATTTCCTAGGAGAGATTGTTTTTTTATTCAAAGTCTTGCATGTATACCTAAGATTACAAGTGTTTTATAAATATTAATTCATTTACCCCTCATAGTAACTCCAAGAGGTGAAGTCACTTACCTAAGGTGTAGAACTAGTCAAACCCAAAAGTGTAGGTCTATGTGCGTTATACTACACTGCACTCCAGTATTCTTGCCTGGAGAATCCTATGTACAAGGAGCCTGGCAGGTTACAGTCCATAGGGTCACAAAGAGTTGGATATGACTGAAGCGACTGAGCACACATGCCATTATACTTTTCTACAAAGATTTCTCAGACTAGGCAACCCAAATTCCCATTTATCTGTTGCTTCAAGGTGAGCAACGGTGTGCAAAGAGAACAGTGTTTGATCTGCTTGCTCCGTGTCACAGGAATGGAAACATGGAGATCAAGTCTCTAAAACGTCCCCTATCTCCTCACACTGATTTCTTCTACTCTCTCATCTCCACTTCATAGAGGTCACCTTTCTGCCATTGGCTCCCGAGTGCTGAATCTGTGTCTCACATCTCACACACACACACACACACACACACACACACACACACACATATGCGCGCATGCGTGCGCACACACACATACACACACAGTATTACCATGCTTCAATGAAGCGGCACAGGGTCTGTGAGCTGGGCATAAAAGCAGACATCATTTGCTCATTAGAGCTAAGTTTTCAAGACGTGCCCCAATTACTGACCTCCACTAACGGCCTGGGTTTGCGCTCGACTGCAAACCTGAAGTGGCAGAGTTCACAGTAGCTGGTGTTTGAGGACGACAGCCAGTGTTCCAGGCAGCTCCGGTGAATTGTCCCCAAGGTCCCTGTACATTCACACGGAGAGAGCAAGTCCTCTTGACTGCTGCCCTCGTGGCAGATCCTGCACATCGGCCGGTCATTGAAGGGACTGCAAGAGAAGGAGGGGCGACCTGCTGGTCACGGGCTGGTAACCACCGCCACGCCGCGGTCCTCCGGCTCTGGGCCTTCGGACCCTCCCCCGCGGCAGCTGCTCAGAACATACATCTGCTTTAAAACCCGAGATCGACACTGGCATTCGGCAGTGGGGGCCGGGATCCTTGGGCATCTACTTTTGTCAAAACAGCGAACTAGGGGGTGGCTAATACCAGAGTAGGCGGACACAGGGATATAGTGAGGGCAAAGGAGCAATGTGTTAATTTTGCCTTGGATGTCGATGGAGTTCAGGCAAACTACCAATCGAAAAATAAAAATCATCCTTTGCTAGTAAGAAATGGTTTGCAACCAGCACCGATTATAGTTTCTAGACAAACTGAGTCTTTCGAACCAGGCCGGGACACTTTTGAATACCCAGAGGTTCTTTGCCTTTCTCTTTTTAGTGGGATGGGAGAGTGAGAGGAGGAAAACAGATGGGCAGCCGGCCCTGAAGCTGCCACGCAGAACTGCAGCCTGCGCCGGAGCACAGAGCTGGAGCTTTCCGATGTTGCGCTTTGGGCTGCTGAGGACACTCAGCAGAAAGCTGGTAAAGGTATGTCCTACCAAGGCGGCCTCCGTCCAGGGCTTGGCCTTTAACTTGGAAACGTCACCCCTGTGAGGACGCATGGTGTTGTGGCTCGTGAGGCAGGCTCTGGAGTCGTGCCACTTGGGCTCAAACCCCAGCTCTGCTGCACGTGAGCTGGCTCACTTTGGGCAAGTAATGTCATCTCTCTGGACTTTAGCTTAAAATGGGCATAAAGCAGGGTACCTTCCTCATATGGTGACTGTGAGGATGAGCAAGTGTAATCCAGGTTACAGGCTTGGATGAGGGACCAGCATGTAGTAAAGTGCCTAGTTAATGCTCACTATTTTCACTTGTAGAAAAACTCAGGTCAGGGAAAACCAAATGACGTGGCCCTCATCACATATGTCAAAGGCCAAGGGAAAGCTCCAAGACGGCCTCTGTTCTCAATGGATACTGGAGGGCTATCTGCCTCTGATCAATGTCTTCTCATATTGCTAGAGGTCCTTACAGGGTATTCGATTTTTAAATGTCATCACTGTATGTGCCAACCCAAGGACCAGCCTCTTTACCCACCTTTCCCCACTTCTTCCTGTCCCCCAAAGCGGAGAGTGACCCAAGCTTATGCTCACCCCCATCTCACTGGCTCCATCTTTGTGGAAACAGCCATGGAAACACTGCTCTTTCCCAAAGGCCTTTCTGAGGATGATCCTGGGACTGAGTGAAGGCTAAAAGGGGATTAAAAGAGGAAAGGAGCTCCTTCCCCCTTGCCAAGAGGAGCCCCACATGCTCAGGGGGTCGGGAAAAGAAAGTTGAAAGAGTTGACTTTTTTCTCTCATCATCCCTGGCCTCCATCATTCACACTGAGCCAAATGCTTATAAAATTGTAAAAGTTCTGGTTTACACTACTGTATGGTAGGAGAACATGTAAGAATGCCTGACACACGCGTGTGCACACACACACGCTGGCTCCCAGCTCTCAGTCGTTTCCGTTCTGCAGTCCGTGCTTCTTGATCAGATGAGGTGTTTGATGGCTCGAGGGTGACGGGGGCACATGCAGACAGATAACTATCTGTCTCATTCACCGCTGAGCGCTAACACTCACTGCCCCCTTGTATTCTGAGTCCTAACCAATTGTTACAAGTTTTCCCAGAGGTAGAAAAATATATATTGACCTTTTCTTTTTTCCTTCCCTTTGTGAAAGCCACACAGATGGACAGCAGAAGGCACATGGATAATGTTTATAACAGGTGTGGGTGGGTGAGTCCATGTCTGGCGGCCAGCACATGTGGGGCCAGGGGGTTGGGGGTGGTATTAGTGCTGTGGTGTCCCCAGGGGTCCTGTTGCATAGGGGTTGATGAGCCTGTATCTGCACTGGAGGAGTTGGCTGAATTGCTCAGATCAAGGTAAGCAGTCAAGGTCTGAGTGACTGACCCGAAGTTTCAGGGTCAGACGTGTCAGCAGTGAAATCATAGGGCATGTCTAGTATTGAAACACGTTTTACAGTCATAAGTCAGGTCCCACTTACTCATTCTGCAATAAATGGAGAAGCCGAGGAGCACTTAGTGGCCAGGCAGCCTGTGGCTCTCCACCTTCCACTGGGCGGCAAGAGCGCCGGAGGAGAGCTCCAGGGACACAGGGCTGGCCTGGGTAAACCATGTCTGTGCTGCTCCAAGCCTTCAGTCTGGCCCTGGTTCATCTCTCAGGGGAGACGCGCTGCGGGCGGTTAATGATAGTACTTCACAGGGCAGGGTGTGTGTGAAGCATCGTGGAGGGGGCGTGTGGAGGGCACATGAGGCAGCAGAAGAGGTTCCCAAATGGGGACGTGCCAGAGGAGTCCCCCAGGAAGCTGCGCTGAATAGGCCCCCGTCACGGGGTGCTGACTACCCTGCACACCAGAACGTCACTTCAAAAGTTTTACCCATGTATCCAATCACTTTGGCTCAGTCACGTGAGACCCAGAGGCCTTCTTGGTTCTATGCTAACAAAGGGGGCTACCTTTGTTAGTACCTGAAGTCGACAAGAAAGTCATTACCGTTGCAAGGTCAAAATAACAAATGTTAAGCAAGTGACCCTGGCGCCTTGTGGGATCCTTCTCTGCCTGGCTCTCTGCGAGTGTGACTTTAAGCAGAAAACGCCAGTGTGAGTTTTTAGCTTTTTATGCCATTGCTATAGAAACGGCAATAACAGAACTTGTGTAGTTTTTTTGTTTTTTTCTCCCCAGTACCTCCTCTCACCTGACACAAAGACCTGAGCACTCATTACACTCCCTTCAGCATTTCATGTCTGACAGAAAGCGCTCGGGATCAATTGCAGATTCATTGACTTTAATGGTGGTACTACCTCTGGGTGGCGAGGGTCCGCACCACTGTTGACAGCAGCTGCCCGTCCTTAGCGGAAACCTGCATGACATACTGCGGCTGCCCATTCACCAGGCTGCCGCAGGCCTCCACGGTCTTCACCACGGGCGCGGCGGGGCCGGTGCAGTCTGGCAGCACTTCGGGCAGGTGACTGCAGCGGCTGGTTGTCATGGTAACAGACAGCAATTACTCTGCTAATGGCTTCCACATTCATACAGGATTTCCATCTAAGAGAGATCAGAAAACAGTTTACTTGGGCCGGGTACTTAATAGAAAACGGAGAATTATGGCCACCATCATCGTGTCATGATTTACTAGAAATAACAGGTGGTACTGTATCTTGCAACCATTTACCGAGCACATGCATACACTGGGCTCACGAGAAACAGCGGATATGGTTATGAACAGGACAGTGAGCGTGTCAGTGTATGTGAACACCGGAGAAGGGAGGGCGTGGTGGGCCCGGCAGCCAGATCTGGAGAGAAGATAAGCAGCTCTCCCGCTCTGGGCCAAAGAGGCAATAAGTCTTTGTTGACACTCTCTGAGTTACTAGAACCTTTATTAAAACCGTTGGCAACTATTTTTTTTCTTCGAAGCAATTTATTCTCTATGCAGCTTCATTCTGAGATGCTAAGATTAAAAAGAGAGAGAGAGTGAAGAAAGGCTAAAGAAAGGAGAAAAAAAAAAAAAAAACCCATAACCCATGTGAATTTGGCCAGGTAGCACCTTCCTGGGCAGTATTTGCCAAACATGAATCACTCAATTAATGAACCACCTTTCTGACTTTTCCCATATCTGTGTTCCATAACAAAATTATCTACTTAATGTGTCTTGAAAATTAGCTTCCTTTAAAAAGTTAACCTATTTTAGCCTTGTCTTAAAGTTATTCATGAAATGATGAGTTTGATGAGCTTGTTATACCAATTTTCTTTTAAAGATTTTTTTTTTTGGATGTGGGCCATTTTGAAAGTCTTCGTTGAATTTGCTACAATATTGCTACAATATGTTTTGGTATTTTGGTGGTGAGACATGTGGGATCATAGCTCCCCAACCAGGGATTGAACCAGTACCCCCTGCATTGGAAGGCAAAGTCTTAATCACTAGACCTCTAGGCAAGTCCCTATATATATTTTTAATGGACATTAAGCTTCTGGTTCTTTTTGTGTACCACCTAAAATCTAGGGACACTGCCTTCTCAGAGGAGATCACATAGGCGATTGAGGTCTCTACCACCTATTAAGAATAATCCATTCTTAATAAGGACGTAACCTCGCTGACATATAGCCTGTCACATAGACTGCAAGAAATTCTGTTCCCAATTTGTGCGATGTAAGCTTCAACTTGACCTCAAGTTCAAAGCATTCAGACCCAGTGGAGTAAGGAACCGTACTGCATCCAATAATAGATTTGCATGTGATGTGTAAGAAATAGAGGCCTTAAGAGAAACTCGCAGGAGGCATTTTTTATGTCTAAAGCTGAGAGGACACAGTTTCACGGTCCATACACACTGTCCCTGCCCAGCCTGCTCACCTCGAGCTTCTGAGCCCAGCACAGCCTGGACCCAGTGGGCAGCGGCAGGGCTGGCAGACAGACTAAGTTCCTGTGAGTTAGTAGTCTGGGTGGTCAAGGCCCCAAGTGTAAATAAATCTGCCTCCCAACCCTAAGAGATTTTTGGAATTCCTCTAAGGGTTATTTTCTACTAGATATTTGTCTCTATTTATTACATTTTACTTGACTCCTACAGGTCTGGAAAATAGGGTCTGCCAACAATGTCCATCCATTGGACATTCTCAGGAGGAGAATGCCGGGTTTTCAGAAGAACTTGAGCTGACGCGGTCACTGCTGACAAGCACATATCCGCAGCCCTGACCAGCGAGTGGGAATGGAATCCTCTCCTTCCTGCCGAGGATCTGGCTGGCCTCCCTTTCCTGTCCTCCTTGGCTGCCTCTAGCCCTCGCGGGGTCTGCGGTCTGGCCTCTCCCAGGAGCCCTTTGAAAACTGGCAGTGTGGCCGGGGCTGTGGACAGCAGCCACGCTCTGAGGCCTGATGTGAGGCAGTGGCAGGAACTCCTGCTCTCACGACCCTATGGCCTTCTCAACCCCCAGGTACCGAGCATTCAAGAAACCCAGTGAGCTGATTAGCTAGTATAGTGTTGCTTGTTAAATAGGATTTGTCTCTTTTATTTTTTTCTCACATTACAAGATCAAGAAATATACGTTACAGAAAGTACAGAAAAGCACAAAGAAAATAAAACTCACTCAAAATGCCGCCACTTGAATAACCACAGTAAACTTTTTGTGTGGATAGCTTTTTAAGTTTTGGCAGGATTGGCAGGGTGGAGTTGATTTGTAACTGGGGTCAGATAGTTTTATCTTTTTTTTTTTTCCCCAAAGTTTTCAGACCGCAGAACAAAAAGGATGTTCAAAGGTCAACTTCGAAAACTATGTCTAACCCCTTTTCCTTGGCCTGCCCTGATAAAACCCCATTGACATGATTTTAAATTCTCATAATGCCTGACAGTCACAAAGTGTAACTTCCTGGCACAGCTCTCTTGCTTCACAAGGCAGTCATAGATTAAGAGCCAGGGGTGTGTTGGCAGGAAAAGCAGACACAGTGACCTTCTTGCCGCACGAAATCATTATGTCTGGGTGCGTGCTGAGAGTCTATTTTCGGGTTTTGCATAACTCCAACTCAGAGGACCAAGCACTCCCTCCCTCTACTCCATGGAGCTGCAAGGAGGAGGAGAAGGGATGCAGAGTGAGAAAAGGAGGCCAGGCCGGTCAGCACTGAGGCTGCCCTTATTGAGGGGACTGCCACTCAGACACATGAGGTCCCCAAGTTCATTTACTTATAAACTTAGATTAAGCCCTCACTGAGGGCTTCCCAGGTGGCACTAGGGGTAAAGAACCTGTCTGCCAATGCAGGAGACACAAGAGACGCAGTCTGATCCCTGGGTCTGGAAGATCCCCTGGAGAAGGAAATGGCTACCCACTCCAGTATTCTTGTCTGGAAAATCCCGTGGACAGAGGAGCCTGGCGGGCTACAGTCCACGGGGTCACAAAGAGTCAGACACAACTGAGCGACTGAACACACACACACACACACACACACACACAGAGGTAGTAGTTCTAAATGTATGACCTAAATCTGCAATAAAATTGCCCTTAAAACAGTTCTGGAAGTAGAGTTTCCTTAGAAGTATTATTTTACTTTGAGATGATATTCTTCATTTCACTTGCCTTCTCAAAGGCAATGGAGCTATTACCCACCATCTAATGAGTTTATTCCATTCACAGACAGCACCAGGCATTGAACTGGGCATAAAGGAAAAAGATTCCTCCTCTGCTTTGCCTTCTCCTGCAAGGAAGCCCTGGCTCTTTCCCTCATGCTCTGCACCCAACCTAGCACCTGATTGAAATGATACTCGCGTCCAACACTGGCTGAAGAACACACTGGCACGTCCGCTGATCACCACATACCAGAATAATCCTGATGTACTAAGTCCGGCGTGCCAGAGGTGAGTCCCCATGCTCCTCAAAGATTGTGTCTTGAATTGCAACTGCGGCGGGAGCGATTACATGGAGGATGGGCACCTTGACCTTGGTGGGAAGGGCTGAGTGGGTGCCAGCCCCAGAACAGGGAGTCTAATCAGGTGGAAGAAGAGAGAGGGGAGCATGTCTCCCCAACCTCAGTAAAAAAGAAGCCCTGAGGCTGAGATCAAGGCATGGGGCAGGAGTGGTTCTCTCAGGCTGCGGGCACCAATTGGCATGCACATGTTTGCACCTGGGGCAGTGACAAATGGCCCACTGCCTTGCCCTGTCTCTTCCAGAGCCACCTAGGAAAACAGCAGGCTATTGCTGAGGATGCTAAAAATAGTCAAGCTATGGGTCTGTAGCCTAGCACTGATCTTCCACTGATTTTCCTGAAAAATTTCAAGTGCCATTTGATCGTCTTTTTTTATTGTTGTTGTTAAAATCAATACTGCTCCTAGGAAATTCCCCCAAGAATTCTGCTCTCTGGATTTCTCAGGACAAAAACACTGATGCTGGGAGGGAGCAGTGTCCCTGTAAAAGCGAAACCTCAAATTACACTGATGGGAGTTCTTTGTTGGTTAGGTTTGACACCTTATATAATTCCTCAGGCTGAGAATAAAACATGATTTGGCACTGGCCAAATTCTGCTGCACTCAGTGGGTGGACTGGGAATAGGTGTGTGAGAGGGAGACAAATAAAAAAGGAAGGAGTGGCTACAGAAATGAAAGCCTGATTAGACAATTGTGAAGATAAAAAGGACTGTCTGTGAAACTGTGACCCCTTTAAAGGCTAGAGTACAGTTTCATAAAAGCACGGACCCAACCATGCTGCAGCTACCCGTGGCTGCACAGGCTGCGGAAGGTACGTGATTTCCATGGGAACACGGCTGGCATCATGAGGATGCATTCAGAGGATGTGGGGGACGGGCAGGGAAGCGAACCGTGCTCACCTCTGCAGCCTTCGTGCCCCACAGCCCCGGAACTTCCACAAAGATCGTGGAGTTACAGGAAAGGCTCTGTTCTTAGAAGCAGGACACCCAAGCCTGCGCCCTGGCTTATCACTCACCGGGGTAAACCACACAGTCTCTCAGACTTTGCTGAGATTTCTTGCATTTGAAATCAGAGTATTGATACCTCCTGAGCCACCTCTTCTGGTTATTTGTGAGGCCTAAAATAAGATGAGACATGTGAACGTGCTCTGCAAGTTGGATGAGCCTTGCACTCAGAGCTATGCATATGCACATTTTATTACTACATGAGCCGTCTTTCTTGTTCTTTGTCTGGCCTGAGCTGCGTCTTGTTTCTGTCTTCTATAACTTTCTTCCTCCATCACTGGTCAGTTTGTACCCACTGCATCCTTTAGCTCACACTTGAGCCCTGCCTTCGTACCACTCTGTCTTCTCCCAGTGGGAAGTACAAAGGGAATCTTCCTTGCACCCAACTTCTCATTCTCCTGAGACCTGTCACTTCCACAGGCCCCTACACAGGTTGCACTTTTCTGTGAAAATGTTTAGTAAAGATCCATGATGAAAAACTGCTATTATGTTTGGTATTCATATCTATTTGTTACAGTAGCTACCCTTATCTTGGGCTTCCCAGGTTGCACTAGTGGTAAAGAACCTGCCTGTCAACGCAGGAGACATAAGAGATGCGGGTTCTATCCCTGGGTCAGGAAGATCCCCTGGAGGAGGGCAT